CTCTCCCCGCCACCCCACCCTGGAGTCTTTACGTTTCAGAGACAAGACCCCAGGAATAAGGTAACTGAGTCAAAGGGTGGGTGCATCTTTACTTTGATTCAATAGCCACACTGCCCTTGCCCGTTTGGCTCAGTGGATAGAGCGGACTGAAGGGTCCCAGGCTGGTTTCCAGTCAAGGGCACATGCCCGGGTTGCAGGCTCGATCCCCAGTAGGGGACGTGCAGGAGGCAGCCCATCCATGATTCTCTCTCATCATTGATGTTTCTCTCTCCCTTTCCCTTCCTCTCTGAAATCAATAATCTATATCTCTATATCTCTATATCTCTATATCTCTATATCTCTATCTCTATCTCTATCTCTATCTCTATATCTCTATCTATCTCTATATCTCTATCTCTATCTCTATCTCTCTATATCTCTATCTGTCTCTATCTCTATCTCTATCTCTATCTCTATCTCTATCTCTATCTCTCTATCTCTATCTCTATCTCTATCTCTATCATCTCGCCACCCTAATTTCCAGAAGGACTACGGCGATGTTTTCATTCCTATCAGTCCCGTAGGAAATGCCCTTTCTTTCCGTCTTCACGAGCAGTCGGTGTTATGGCCTTTAACCGTTCCCAGTCTCCTGGACACGGTGTGACTTCCCTGTGTCTCTGCTGTGTTTGCCCCGCTGCCGGCTAGCTTGGCGATCACGGCGTGGCAGTGCTCCCAAAGCAGGCTGCTGTCCTTTCTGGCATCCCCGCTCGCCACAAACAACAAAACAAAACAAAACAAATGGCCTGAGACTTTTGTGATTTTGTTCCTGGAATAATTTTGGCAGGGAGGAGTTCCTGCGATTCAGGACAGGCCGTGGCCACCTCCGCGGAGCATTATCATCAAGACCTGGGGGGATCTTTGCAAATGTAGAAAGATGAAAGCTACAGAGGGGTGATCTGCATGGTAAGAAACTGCCTGGGAGAGACACAAAATCAGCCAGGCCAGTATGGCTCAGTGGTTGAGTGTTGACCCACGAACCAGGAGGCTACAGTGCCTGCCATCCTGGGTCAGGGCACATGCCCGCGTTGCTGGCTCAGTCCCTGGTGGGGGGTGTGCGGGAGGCAGCCTGGTCAATGATTCTCTCTCATCAACGTTTCTCTCTCTCCCTTTCCCTTCTCTCTCTGAAATCAATAAAAACATATAAAAAATAGCTTCTCTATTTTAAAAAGAAGGGTACAAGGACAGCCAAACTGGGGTGA